CACACAGACACACAGACACTCGGACACACAGACACTCGGACACAAAGACATTCGGACACACAGACACACAGACACTCGGACACACAGACACACAGACACAGACACAGACACACAGACACACAGACACTCAGACACACAGACACACAGACACGGACACACAGACACTCGGACACACAGACACACAACACGGACACACAGACACGGACACACAGACACGGACACACAGACACTCGGACACACAGACACACGGGCACAAGACGACATTGCAAAACCAAGTGTTTTTTTTTTAAATTTGAGGACTCGTAAATCTCGATTTAGAATTTTGCGCTTTTACAACATGCCCTGTAAAATCCGTTTACTATTTAAACGGCGAAAATTCAATAATTTCATTTGATTTTTTTTTTTGCATAATTTTAAACCCCGTATACAAGAAAGTAAAAAAAAAAAGTTAACTAATCGAAATCCTAATGTGTTTCTCTAAAAATGTAGCCACTGTACTAAAATAGAACATCAATAAATTGAAATCTGTTACATTTTATTTTTATTTACCATTTATTTTTGTTAATCGCGTAGTACATATTTTGGCTTACGAACTTTATAATTCGAACACGTTCCGGACAGAATGTGTTTTGGGTTGTCTACTAAACTGCAATATTTGTGTTGTTGCTATTCTTGTTGCGAAAGATTAACAACTTGTTGTTCAAAGAAAGATATTAAGTAAAATAGGAGAAAAAAGTTTATAAATCAAGGAGTGAGTGCACTTTTTTCTTCTCCAAAAATAAAGACCGCGATATGGACAATCATCTGGCTAATAGGTCACAAGAGGTCAACTTTTTATGTCACCTCGGCAGTTCTATGTGGCGGTCAGTTGTATGTGGCGGTCAGTTGTGTGTGGTGGTCAGTTGTGTGTGGTGGTCAGTTGTGTGTGGCGGTCAGTTGTGTGTGGTGGTCAGTTGTGTGTGGTGGTCAGTTGTGTGTGGCGGTCAGTTGTGTGTGGTGGTCAGTTGTGTGTGGCGGTCAGTTGTGTGTGGCGGTCAGTTCTATGTGGCGGTCAGTTCTGTGTGGTGGTCAGTTCGATGTGGCGGTCAGTTCTATGTGGCGGTCAGTTCTGTGTGGCGGTGAGTTCTGTGCCCAGCTGACTTGATTTCCCCCCAACGCGAGCCAGGTACCCATCAGAGCTGAGTAGACTCTAACGACCGACCACGCCACTCGACTAAGTTACTATACATTTCACAAATCAGTAATAAATTCCGATAATTGTTGAATTCAGACGGAAAATGTGTTTCAGCTTACAAACACTATTTGATGAAGTTCGTATACTTGGACAAATTTCCCCCTAAAATGTAAGTAATAAACAAGCACATATTTTATTTATTAACTCAAAAAATGATAATTTTACAGTTGATCTGATTTTTAAAAGCGGATTAGCTGCTAATTATATAACATCAAAAAAGAAATACATTTATTGCCACAAAAGTAATTCAACAAACAAAAATATACTAACCATGGCAAGACTCAAATACGACAGTAAAACTACGCTACACAGAAGCTAACCACGAACAAGTTTTTTTTTACTGTACGAAAAAGAGAATGGACATCTCATGTAATTTTAAACACAGTCTGAACACGTCTCTTTTAATTACGTTGTGTATAAACTATTTACAACCTGCGGTGATCACCATCCCTAGCAGATCATGTCCAACTCTATTGGAAAACCTGATACAGTGTTTGAATTAATTGGACGGTGCCAGAACATTGCCTTCAATTATGTATGGCAGGTGTTAGTGGTATGGTCCATGGTGCTGGGGAGGGGGGGGGGGTTAGTGCATCAATCCATAGTGCTAGGTGGGTCTAGTGCATCAGTCGATGGTGCTAGGTGGGGGGGGGAGGGTCTATTGTATGTCCATGGTGCTAGGAGGGCCTAGTGCATCAGTCCATGTGCTAGGGGGGTCCAGTGCATCAGTCGATGGTGCTAGGTGGGGGGGGGGGGAGGGTCTAGTGTATGTCCATGGTGCTAGGAGGGCCTAGTGCATCAGTCTATAGTGCTAGGAGGGTCTAGTGCATCAGTCCATGTGCTAGGGGGGTCCAGTGCAAGGTCTATAGTGCTAGGAGGGTCTAGTGCATCAGTCTATGGTGCTAGGGGGGGGGAGGGTCTAGTGTATGTCCATGGTGCTAGGAGGGTCTAGTGCATCAGTCTATTACGGTCTAGTGCATTAGTCCATGGTGCTAGGGGGGTCCAGTGCAAGGTCTATAGTGCTAGGAGGGTCTAGTGCATCAGTCCATGTGCTAGGTGGGCCTAGTGCATGAGTCCATGGGGGTTAGGAGGGTCGAGTGCATCAGTCCATGTGCTAGGGGGGTCCAGTGCAAGGTCTATAGTGCTAGGAGGGTCTAGTGCATGAGTCCATGGGGGTTAGGAGGGTCGAGTGCATCAGTCCATGGTGCTAGGACTACCCGAAGGCGGCGTGGTCGGATGGTAGAGATTACGACTGCTGACCCGAAAATCTCGAAACCGGAATCTAGGGTTCAAATTTGTATGACGTCCCTGAGTCAACCCAGCTCTAATGGGTACCTGACTCATCTTAAGGAAATAATGGATGTGCACATGATCACACTATCTCTGATAGGCCGAGGTCTTTTAAACAGATGGACTCTACATCACCTACCCTATGAGCCTGGGACGGGGGGAAAAGTGAAGCGACTACTTGCTGGTTGGACTGATTTTAAATAGCAGAAATCGTTGCGACCCTTCCCGGCGCCCGGGGACAAACTTTCGATTTGTACCCCCCCCCCCTCAAACATTTGATTTGCACCCCCCTCTCAAACTTTCGATTTGCAACCCCCCCCCCAAACTTTCAATATTTTTACAACCCATTTTGGCGCCCCCTAAGGTCGGCGCCCGGGGACATATCTCTTGGCTAAGAGATTTGGATTCTTATGTCTTATGGTCTATGGTCGATGTCACACAGTTTTAACACATTGACCACCCCACACCTCCCAAAAAAACCTAATTATTATTGTCATACAATATAGACATAAAATATTATTAACAATTGTAGACACAGGTACACACCCAACATAGTCCTAGAAGACAGAGTCGTTTCAGCCAGATGGCATTGTAAACATAATGTATGTCTATATTTTCTATCTCACTAACAATGCCTGCTTCCAACCCTCTTCAAGTATTACTACGTTACCATATTCCTACGTCTTCCAGTTAATAAAACTAACCCGTGCAATAAAATGGTAGTTGTAGTCTGAAATATGCACCAGCGGTCGGCGTGGTTGAATGGTTGATGTTGTTTTATGGTAGAGTGTTATGTAATTATCTCGGAGGTCACGCATGAGTTATTCGGTTTTAAGACCAAGCTCAAGTTTCTTGTAACCCATGCGGGGTAACTCTAGACCACTGGCAACGCTAGAGTTGTTCATTGTACGAGGTGATAAGAATCAGTAACATAATACTATTCTCCAGGAGGGACTCAGCCACATTCTTCAGGAAACTGTTTTTAATAATGTGTGATTTCATGTAATAATTTTAGGAAAAATATCAACACGAATAACACAACAAGAGTCTAATGTGTACAAACATATACTATATAACACACACACATACACACACACACACACATATATATATATATATATATATATATATATATATATATATATATATATATATATATATATATATATATAGATATATATATATATATATATATATATATAAATAAATAAAAATAGAAAAATAAATAAATAAATAAGTAAATAAATAAATAAATAAATAAATAAATAAATAAATTATATATATATATATATATATATATATATATATATATATATATATATATATATATATATATATATATATAGAGAGAGAGAGAGAGAGAGAAAGTTAGTGATGTCGTTTCTTCCAGGCATCACGTCTAGGGGTTCCGCCCCCCCGAAGTAATTGTACCGCCCCCTCCCCCCCCCCCAATGGAATTTATATAGAAAACATTTTCTTTTATCAGTGTCCGCCCCCCACCCCAGAAAATTTAGTTCGTCCGCCCCCCCCCCCCTCCCGAAAATATCAAGCCATTCCCCCCCCCCCCCCTCGGAGAAAAAAGTCTGGAAGAAACACTGGTTATCTGTCTGGTACCACAGCAGTACACGAGTTCATCTTTCTCTTATAACAGAGATAAATCTAGATAGAAAGATAAGAGCAGATATAGAGAGATAGAGGGAGAGAGAGACAGAGAGTACAGACTAGTAATACTGCATAAATATTGATCTTCACTCAGTGGGAAAGTTTGTGTCGTAATATTTTCCGAGCAAATGAAAAATGTACACAACCTTTACGTCGCGTTGATAAATTTATGTGGCTGGATCGTTAATGGTATTGTTTGAGATTTCACGCTTGAAAAGTTACACAACTGAAGGCTCTTATAGTAATCACTTGTGTACATTTAGATGAAGTGGGTTACTAGAGATGTTTTCAGAGGAAGGAGGGAGAGGTGTTGAATTTTGGATTTGTAAAACAATTTTTTTAGTGGGCTTTTAAAATTTGGATTTGTAAAAATTTTTTTAGTAGGCTCTCAAACCATAAAAAGAAAGTATTCTCACACAATATTTTAAGATCATCTTCTCTATTTTTTCCCCGTTCGTATCCAAGACACACAGAGATAATGAAGTAGAGTTTATCAGTTACAATGATCTCGACATATGAAGGGATAGTGTGGTCAGCGCTATGCTCAGCTGCCATTGTTTCCTAAACGTGAGTCAAGGAGATTATTTGACCAAGGGAAGTCCTACAGACTCGAACCCTTGATTAAAATTCGAGGCTTTGGGGTTAGCAGTCGTACGCTCTACCATCCGACCACACCGTACCACATTTTTTTAAAATACATAGGTGGTCAAATAAAATGTTTACTCGGGATGCCGAGTTTCGTGACAACAACTCACAACGGTGCTGGTAGGTTTCTGACCCTCGCAGTTGACTTTTGTCCCATTCTTTCAGGGCGTGAAGCGAAACATGAAACTTGACGACCAGAAATGTGGGCGGGGCCCCAGGCGGATGTTCGCTCAAGCGTGGAGCAGAAAGTTCACGGTCGTCTTCGTGTCGTGTTTGTGTGTTGTCATGGTGATGACACTGTTGACGTGTTACCAACGCTACACCGAGTGGGTGTGGCAGGTCGAGGAGAGCCAGCGGGCCATGGCTTGGGAAGGCTTTGGCCCGGAGAAAGGTAAGAGGATAGTTGTGGGGGTCTGGACCAGAGGCGTAGCGAGGGGGGGAGGGGTACATATGTCCCTGGGCGCCGACCCAAGGGGGCGCCAAAATGGGTTAAAAAATATTAAAAGCTCATTTTAGCTGCAGTTTTGGATTATAAATATAAAAAATATATGATAGGGAGGCAAAAAAGAAAGTTTGTTCGCGGGAGTGAGGGTGGGGGGGGGGGGGGACTCCAAATTAAAAGTTTGTCCCCGGGCGCCGTGAAGCATCGCTACGCCTCTGGTCGGGACAGATGATAAGCGGACAGTTGTGGGGTTCGGGAAAAAAAGGTAAGCGGGCTGTTGTGGGGGTGTGGAGCAGAGATAAGCGGAAATCTGTGGGGGTCGGGACGAAAAATAAAAGGACAGTTGTATAGTTCGGGACTAAAGGTAGCAGGACAGTTGTAGTGGTCGGAATAATTGGTAAACAGATTGTTGTCTACTGTAAAGTATGAAATACAAGTAAGCGGAAAAGTGTTCTTAAAATAATTATAGACTTTTACCTCCCTTTTCCACATCAAATCTTAAAGCCCCTGTTAATATTTAAAAAACACGTTCCAGTCTGATAATTTTGACCTTAATTTATGTCTGTGTTTTACACCGTGTTGTCCCCCTCCCTAGGTCTGTACAACTTCACCGTGGTGACCGCCATGCTGGACATTGGCCGGGGGACGTGGACGTCCCAAGTCCGGCCGTACAACATCTACCTGCTGTACATGCAGCGTCTGCTGAGGATGGACGTCAACATTGTCGTCTATGTTGACGTCAAGGCCAGGCCGTTCATTGAGTGGATGCGGCGGGGCAGGGAGGGCCGGACACGGGTGGTGCTGGTCCGTCTGGAGGAGCTGCCCTACTACAGGCGAGTTGGGGGGGGGAGCTGTCCTACTACAGGCGAGTTGTGTGTGTGTGGGGGGGGCTGTCCTACTACAGGCGAGTTGTGTGTGTGGGGGGGGGGGGGGAGCTGCCCTACTACAGGCGAGTTGTGTGTGTGTGTGTGGGGGGGCTGTCCTACTACAGGCGAGTTGTGTGTGTGTGTGGGGGGGGGGCTGTCCTACTACAGGCGAGTTGTGTGTGTGTGGGGGGGGCTGTCCTACTACAGGCGAGTTGTGTGTGGGGGGGGGAGCTGCCCTACTACAGGCGAGTTGTGGGGGGGGGGGGAGCTGCCCTACTACGGGCAAGTTGTGGGGGGGGGAGCTGCCCTACTACAGGCGAGTTGTGGGGGGGGGGAGCTGCCCTACTACAGGCAAGTTGTGGGGGGGGGGAGCTGCCCTACTACAGGCAAGTTGTGGGGGTGGGGGGGGGGAAGCTGCCCTACTACAGGCGAGTTGTGGGGGGGTGGTGTTGTGTGGGGGCGTTCACACAACTTTGGGTGAGGGTGTTGTCACAATGTTGTGTGTGGGCATTGATCATCTCTGCACATATACCTTCTGAGTTGGTGTGGGGAGGGGAGAGGCGGATGGGAGGTGCTGGATACATGGAGAGGGGTCGAGGCTTAAATTTGTGTGTGTTCCCCATTCCCGTGTACTTACCTGTCGATATAATTAGTTCTGTTCCACTGCACATAAAAGAAAATACGTTTACTCCACAACCACAATCGTGCAACTGCTAGAGAACAGAAATCCTCTTGCTGCCTCAATGATGATCAATGATTAAGGACATTAAACATTCTTACTCCCATTCCCTGGCTGTTAATAATTAACTACTTATTAGAGTTGTTCCACACAGTATATTGACTATTTCATTATTGTAACTTTTAAGATTTAAAAAAGCCAGTATAAAATATATTCCTTTTTTAAAATAAATAACCATGTCGTAGATTACATTTTAATTGGTAACGTGTACAGTACAATCATGAACGTGATTTTAATTAATTAACGATGCTCTGCTTCATGATGTCACTACCCATCAGCAGGTACAGAGATCGAATGTCTGAGATCATGAGAAGTCCCGAGTACCAGCGGGACAATGAGCTGTACCAGAAGAAGCTGTGCGAGTCCTACGTGCCGGAGTATGATATCCTACAGCTCTCGAAGCTGTACTTCGTCGAGAGGTGGGTCTAAATTTACATCATCGCTGTTTAGCATTTCAGTTAGGCATTACTTCTTTCGGCACAGTTACATAGACATAGATACATACACTAGCACACAAACACTTAGACAGACAGACAAACACACAAACACGCACAAACACATACATATATAAGTAAATTATACATGCCTCTAACCAATGTAATCAATATTATTATTGATAACAGTTTTTTTCTAGTCAGGCAGTGTCGGTAAAATCGTCAATAGAATTTCATCGCTACTAATCTGTTGGGCAACAGCTCGGGACTTTAAGGTTCAGCAACCATGAGCTTAACCGATCGACCACCCAGACTACCTGCGTTGTCATAGACACATACACTAGCACACAAACACACAGAAACTCAGACACTTAGACTGGCTGTCAGCCAGTCAGACAGCCAGACAGACAGACGGACGGACGGACAGACAGACAGACAGACAGACAGACAGACAGACAGACAGACAGACAGACAGACAGACAGACGGACGGACGGACGGACGGACGGACGGACGGACGGACGGACAGACAGACAGACAGACAGACAGACAGACAGACAGACAGACAGACAGACAGACAGAAAGATAGATTGAGAGACAGACAGACAGACAGATATATAAGTAAATTATATGTGTCCAACAAATATAACCAATATTATTATTGATACCAGTTTTTCCTAGCCAAACGGTGTCAATAAATAGATTCGTCAATAGATTCTCATCTCTACTAATCTATAGGGCAACAGTTGTTGCAATGAGATAACTTTTATCTAAAACGAGAACACTAGTATTCTAACCAAATGAACCTTAATACAAACATAAACACACGTTACTAATCTTCCAACAAAGCATGCGGTATACACAAAGCTAACGGCTTAACCTAAATCCCTATATTGCCACTGTTATAAAGGGAAGTGTCGTGTTTGGAAACCAACATGTAACATGTTTTATTTTGTTTTAGAATTATGTGCGTGTTCTCCATCAACAGATAATTAAAATGGGTTGTTCTAGGGGATGCGTTATGTGTAATTGAAAGCCTCCTCTTGCAACGGTACACCGCTTAGGATGATATGTATGAACACATTATTGATTAGAGTATTGGTAAACGGGTATAGGCAGTCATAGTCAGGGTTGTGGCTTTACATATATGGCTCAGTAGATGGGTAAAGTCAGCCACAGTCATGTATGTGACTTTAAATATATGGCTCAGTAGACGGATATAGGCTGTCAAAGTTATTGGTGTGACAATATATATATATGGCTCAGATCAGCAAGTTTATTTGTTTAAAAAATATTTATGTCTTATTTTTTAAAACAATTTTAAAATCCCTATTTTGTTTAGTTTTTAATCAGTCACAATCCGTCGATATTTTTAGGAGCTAAATATAATACTATAAACATTGGGGGGGGGGGGGGGTATGGTGGGTGGGCTATGCCTCTTTATCCCTAGTGAGATCTACACGTAGTTATATAAATATATATTCATAAGCACTAACATATAATATTTTATTCATTTAAAATCACGAATATGCAAATCATTTCTTTTTCCGATACTTTTTCCAATTTTAAAATATTTTCTATGATTAAAATGAATATTTGAATCAAATCAAAATTAAATATAGAAATTATTTTCTTTTTCTTCTTCTCTACAGAACCGTAAGAGAGAATCCTTTCAAAAATACTTACTTCATGTGGATGGATGGTGGATATGGGCACGGTAAAAACGTTTATCCATCGGATGAATTATGGATTCCCAAAAATCTCTTTGAATATCCAGACAAAATCACGTTCATTGAAAGAGAACCGGGCGTCAAACAGTTCGAGGCTAGGAAAAACATCCTCCACAAAATCAGCATCAACATACTTCAGGGGTTGTTTTTCGCTGGGGGCGGGGAGGCGTTTCTGGAGCTGTACCGGCTGCAGCAGGAGCAGGTGGTCGAGTGGATGGAGCAGGGAGTCGTGGACGATGACCAGACCATGTACATGCTGATCTATTACAAGAAACCAAGTTTGTTTCGTTTGGTCGCAGGGGATTGGTATGACGTGTTTACACTTTTTAACCAGCGCGGGCTATCGTGATGTTATGATGACTTAATGTTGATATCCTGTTGACTTTATCGAAATATGAAGCTGACTTTATGTTGATTTGAGGCTGCTTTATAGTTATATTTGGCTGACTTTATGGTGATTTGAGGCTGCTTTATAGTTATATTTGGCTGACTTTATGGTGATTTGAGACTGTTTTATAGTTATATTTGGCTGACTTTATGTTGATTTGAGGCTGCTTTATAGTTATATTTGGCTGACTTTATGGTGATTTGAGACTGTTTTATAGTTATATTTGGCTGACTTTATGTTGATTTGAGGCTGTTTTATAGTTATATTTGGCTGACTTTATGGTGATTTGAGGCTGTTTTATAGTTATATTTGGCTGACTTTATGTTGATTTGAGACTGTTTTATAGTTATATTTGGCTGACTTTATGGTGATTTGAGGCTGTTTTATAGTTATATTTGGCTGACTTTATGGTGAATTGAGGCTGTTTTATAGTTATATTTGGCTGACTTTATGGTGATTTGAGACTATTTTATAGTTATATTTGGCTGACTTTATGTTGATTTGAGGCTGTTTTATAGTTATATTTGGCTGACTTTATGGTGATTTGAGACTGTTTTATAGTTATATTTGGCTGACTTTATGTTGATTTGAGGCTGCTTTATAGTTATATTTGGCTGACTTTATGTTGATTTGAGGCTGTTTTATAGTTATATTTGGCTGACTTTATGGTGAATTGAGGCTGTTTTATAGTTATATTTGGCTGACTTTATGGTGATTTGAGACTATTTTATAGTTATATTTGGCTGACTTTATGTTGATTTGAGGCTGTTTTATAGTTATATTTGGCTGACTTTATGGTGATTTGAGACTGTTTTATAGTTATATTTGGCTGACTTTATGTTGATTTGAGGCTGCTTTATAGTTATATTTGGCTGACTTTATGTTGATTTGAGGCTGTTTTATAGTTATATTTGGCTGACTTTATGGTGAATTGAGGCTGTTTTATAGTTATATTTGGCTGACTTTATGGTGATTTGAGACTGTTTTATAGTTATATTTGGCTGACTTTATGGTGAATTGAGGCTGCTTTATAGTTATATTTGGCTGACTTTATGGTGATTTGAGACTGTTTTATAGTTATATTTGGCTGACTTTATGGTGATTTGAGACTGTTTTATAGTTATATTTGGCTGACTTTATGTTGATTTGAGGCTGTTTTATAGTTATATTTGGCTGACTTTATGGTGAATTGAGACTGTTTTATAGTTATATTTGGCTGACTTTATGGTGATTTGAGACTGTTTTATAGTTATATTTGGCTGACTTTATGTTGATTTGAGACTGTTTTATAGTTATATTTGGCTGACTTTATGTTGATTTGAGACTGTTTTATAGTTATATTTGGCTGACTTTATGTTGGTTTGAGGCTGTTTTATAGTTATATTTGGCTGACTTTATGTTGATTTGAGACTGTTTTATAGTTATATTTGGCTGACTTTATGGTGATTTGAGACTGTTTTATAGTTATATTTGGCTGACTTTATGTTGATTTGAGGCTGCTTTATAGTTATATTTGGCTGACTTTATGGTGAATTGAGACTGTTTTATAGTTATATTTGGCTGACTTTATGGTGATTTGAGACTGTTTTATAGTTATATTTGGCTGACTTTATGTTGATTTGAGACTGTTTTATAGTTATATTTGGCTGACTTTATGTTGATTTGAGACTGTTTTATAGTTATATTTGGCTGACTTTATGTTGATTTGAGGCTGTTTTATAGTTATATTTTGCTGACTTTATGGTGATTTGAGACTGTTTTATAGTTATATTTGGCTGACTTTATGTTGATTTGAGACTGTTTTATAGTTATATTTGGCTGACTTTATGTTGATTTGAGACTGTTTTATAGTTATATTTGGCTGACTTTATGTTGATTTGAGACTGTTTTATAGTTATATTTGGCTGACTTTATGTTGATTTGAGGCTGTTTTATAGTTATATTTGGCTGACTTTATGGTGATTTGAGACTGTTTTATAGTTATATTTGGCTGACTTTATGTTGATTTGAGACTGTTTTATAGTTATATTTGGCTGACTTTATGGTGATTTGAAACTGTTTTATAGTTATATTTGGCTGACTTTATGTTGATTTGAGGCTGCTTTATAGTTATATTTGGCTGACTTTATGGTGAATTGAGACTGTTTTATAGTTATATTTGGCTGACTTTATGGTGATTTGAGACTGTTTTATAGTTATATTTGGCTGACTTTATGTTGATTTGAGACTGTTTTATAGTTATATTTGGCTGACTTTATGTTGATTTGAGACTGTTTTATAGTTATATTTGGCTGACTTTATGTTGATTTGAGGCTGTTTTATAGTTATATTTGGCTGACTTTATGGATATGTGAGGTTGACTTTATGGTGATGTGTGGCAGTCTTGTGTGAGGTTAACTTTTAAGCATATAGTTGTGTTTTCTCTTTATCTGTGAAGCCGTCCATTGATTTATGCTCATATAATGTGTAAGTAAGTAAAATTAAAGAGCCTGACGAACCGTGGGGCAGGTGAAGTTCATCTGTTTCATTGACCTCAGCAAATGAAGGGATAGTCTGGTCAGCATCATGTCCAGCCGTTTTTACTTTCACTGGCGTGAGTCAGATATCCATCAGAGATGGGTGGACCTTTTACTGACACGTGACACGAACCCGGGATTCGAACTCGAGGTTAGACATCGAATGCTCTACCATCCAGCTATGCCGTCCCATCAAATAATATGTACCATGTTCTAATGATTTTCAATGTTTTTATATTTTTTTCAATAATAAAGATTAAAACAATTTTAAAAAATTCTTCGACTTTAAAAAAAAAATGTATTGTAGATGTACTTCAAAAATATACCAACAACAACAAATAAACGAAAACAGGCTAGTAATAGACTAATAAGGACATATATAAGTAGTCACCGTAGAAACGAGAACACCAGAACATATTTACACAGGACAAACAACAGTGAACGAACACACTGCATACAAAGAATTGCACATAGTGTAACACATGTCCAGTCCTATCTAAACACACATGACCTGTACACATTCCTGTCCATTCACAAACCACATGTACAAAGTCCAGCTTATGCACGTGTCTAACGCACACGAAACTAATCATAGGTACAGAATACACGGGAGTCAGGTGACAGGTGAGAGAAAAGGACGGCAACAAAAAGGTGACACGAAAAATTTCCAGGGAGGTAAATGATAGAATCGTTTTAAAGAAAACCAGACCCCCTCCCCTACCCCATTGTCCGTCGCCTAATGAAACGTTCTCAGCTCAAAAGTGCGAAGTTGAAATAATTAAAAAGATTCAAAAGATCATTAACAAGAATAATATTAAAACGAAAACTACATTTTTATTTAGTAGTTTGAGATACCAGAACCGAGCTTTAAAATTTACATAGTTTTTATCTCGTCAACATTTTTTTTAAAAACTTATTCTAGGTGTGTTTAAAAGTTTTGCCGGTGTTGTTACGTAAAAACACTTAACAACATTTCAGTTAATAGTTTTAGCACTACTGTATTTTATATAATACGTTTTAATTCTTAATATAAATAAAGATATATGATTAGCTGCTCTGGTGATCCTATGCCTATATAAAGTGTTACAATGTTATTTTTTAGCGTGTGCTCATATGTGAAGGTAGTGTACTCATTATGTTTACTATGATTTCATCGAAATACTATTTTTTCGATTCCATTTGATTCAATTTACTATTAAAAAAAATTGATAACATGACCTTATGACATGTAAACACTGTTGTCAAAAACACGATAGCTTCCCTTTTGCATGCTCTAATTTTTTCCCCCTCTTTATTAAGTTTAATGATGTCTTAACATATTAGGAAACGTAACTGAGTTAAAACAAGATCTGGCAATACATGTTTTACTCCCCTTGAAACTGTCGTGTCTTCCTAAAAAGTAAAAAGTACTTGTTTCCCCCTGAAAGTACTTATTAGGTAACAAAATATTTCTCTTGTTCTTTACGTGGTACTTAAAAAGACTCCACTGACAAACAATGAATATCAATAAAGGCAGAGTCTGCCATGTGGAATAAGGTGTGTATTAGAACTGAAGCTTAACGTGTTTCACGAAAACATATATATATATCATGAAACAGTTTTACAAACATTGGGGAAGTGAGATAGACACAGACGGGTCAAGTCACAAACTGACCAGTCTAATTACAAAGATGGCGCACAAGCTTATGGGTAGGTTCATTTCACGCAGGAACCGACAACATTGATCACAATAATGGTCCACCAGTTTATTCAGGCCAGGATACGTGTAGGCTCATCTATGCAAATTTTTGAAGTTGCTCGGGTATCCATCAACAAAATATTACTTTGAGTGGTGCACCAAGAATTTAAAGTAACCCCAAATAACCGTAAAAAGGGGTCGGGCAAGACTTCTGAATTATACGGCCATATAGATGACACAAAATACCCTTCAACAGGGCCTTTTGTTTAAACTCCTCAAACATGTCTTCATGCACTCAGTTATATATATATATATATATATATATATATATATATATATATATATATATATATATATATATATATATATATATATATATGCTTACCCTTATCTTATTAAGATTAAGTTTATTATTAATCTTAAAACCCTCCCTACCTTGGCAAAAATATGGCAGGTGTGCCCGAATGGATGGTATCTCATCATGCCCCACAAACCTGTAGGTTTTTCTTTCAGTCATCGAGTCCTACCCATATCAGGGTAATTACTCGAAATGTTGAGAAAAATGTCCAGTTTCTCTGGAGTCTTTGGTGTATAGAGGTGGGTGCCATATGATGCAAACAAGGGAAACAACTGTAGATCATAAAACTTTAAATTAAAAACAACAACAACCATATTGACTACACGGCTGCAAAGGTGGTGGGTGGGGGGGGGGACTGTATAGGTAAATACTATTTCAGAGCGTGACACCTATTAAGAAGGTGAGACCAACGCAAAAGAAACACTT